ATGCTATTGAACTGTCAGGGAGGAAAATGCCTAATGTTCTCGTTTTCCTCCGAGGAGACGGAGAACAGAGCTTGTGCTGCTGCTTGTTGTACTGAGGGAGGTGGTGAGAAGTGGATGGTGCTGTGTGTTGTGAATTGGAAGGACATGCTGTGCAGGATTGTTTGCTCCACACCGCCTCCTGCGGCTCCATTTTACTAAACTCGTGGGGGAGGAATATATTGGCTAAATTGTACTTGTAGGCATAATATTACAGTGCTTGAAAGGATGAAGGCAAGTGGTGCTTAACTTTAAACATGTGCTGCGTATATTGGCAAAGGGTTCTGTTTTTAGTTTCTTGCTCCTTATTGTGCCCATAGTCTTTTCTCAGTTGGTTCTTGGAAATCAACAGGATTAGTCCTCAGGGGGCTGCACGGCATCGGCAGAGCCAGCTGGAGGGCTGCTTTCCTTTGCTTTTGAGTTCAGGGGGAATCGGTTCTTTCAGGGCTCTCTGGGATCCCTGTCATGCCAGCCCACTCCCACTTGCTGCTTTTTAGTATTTACTGAAACCTCCCTTTCCTAGCTCCTGCTTCCAACAACCAGTCAAAACCAGCAGTCAGGCAAAACCACATGAGGAAATGTGGGTGGCCTTTGGGGTGCGTTATTCCGTGACCCAACATGACTTTCCTCAGTGCTGTCTTTTTTTTTTTTTTTTTTGTTTTCTTAATGTCTTCCCTTTGACTGTAAAACACCTCAGGAGTATCTTTTGGCAGCTGTTGACGAGGATGTGGCATCTCTTCTAGAGATACGCTCAGGCTTCAAGTCACACAGAGCCTTAATGGTATCTGACTCTCCTGGGTTACAGTGGAAGTTAATACTGGAAGAGCAGTTAAAGGTTTGATGGTTGTGACCCTGAGAGATGCAGAATCTTAAGTAACTTTCTTCTCCTATAATGGGTAACACCTTTTCCTAAAGTGTGGACTTACTCCATCAATTCCTAGTTGCTGAAAACATTTCCTTTAAGAGAATCACTTGAATTGGAGAGCTTGGACTCCCTCTGTGATGAGTTGAGTTGCTGCCAGCCTACATTTGTTTCTTCTCACTAATAGCATTATTACCTTACTTTTAAAGCCTGCAGTTATGGAACACAATGATAACCCTTTTACCTCCTGCCACATGATGGTGTGAATACTCAACTCTGCGCAAGCACTGACGCTTTACATTTTAATTCTTTCCTACCAAACAAGGAGTGAGCACATCTCCGTTACAAAAGAAATCATTTAAACCTGTCACTAGGGAACAACAGTTACTGTAAAAAAGGGGATATGGTCTGAATTCCCAGGGACAACTGTCTTTCAAAACAGAGACACAACCCCCTACCCCCCAAACCTGCCAAATTACCAGGCTGAATTTCCTCACTAGCCAGCTTCCGAGGGCTGCTTGCTTGGCTGTCTGCTCTAGGATTATGAGAGAGCATCTCCCTTATCATTTTGCACATGCTGTACCATCTGTCCTAAGTCTCCCTTTATAAGGGTATGGATTCCAAATGACATTTCTTTCTTAGGAGATAACAGACATGTCTGAAGAATCTCGCTAGGTATGGCTGTAGTGCTATTTATGTTGCAACACTTTTTTTTCCCCGCCCTCGTCCCGCAACCAGAGCAAACTCTGAACCTTTCTGGTTTTCTACACCCAGACACTGAGAACACAGTTTGTGCTGTAGTCCCTGGGCAAGAGAGGGAAAATCTCCCCATTCTATTGTGTTCTGCTCGATGCAGACAAAGTTGAAGTATTATTAAATTCAGACATTACAAGGACACAAGAGATGCCTTTAATCTTTTATTGTACATTATAAAATGTTTATTGCTCTGTCTGTATCAGAGGTGTTGACCTCTCCCTCTTGGTGATGGAGGAGTATGTTCTGGCAAAGGATCCACTGAAGAGACCTTTGGGGTTAGCCTGCCTCCTGAAACCGGCACAAAGGAAACCCTTGCTTGTTCACCAACACATCTGCAAGCAGACTTCCTAGTGCCTTTCTCCCAAATCAACTATTTTGGAAAGGCTGGTGACAGTGGAAGAGGAGAGATGGCTGAACTCGGTTACTGCCAGCCTATTTCTTTGCAGGGACTTTTAAACCAGGCTCATCTGAGTGCCGGTTTGTTGTACAAGATTCCAACCCAACTCAGGCCAACCTGTCTTTGATGTATTTGATGGCACAAGTAGGATCTCGCCTCATCCCCTAGTGCATATGGAGCGGTCTTGTGGAGTAATTAAATACATACAGATACCCCATGGCATACTACAAAGAGTAAATCTTTTCCATGTGATGGACTTGCATCTACCAGCTTCCAGAGCACCAGCAATCCCAGGGATCCTGTCAGTTTACAAACATCAAGCACTTAATAAGAGAGAGGAGAAGCCCAACCCCTTTTCCATTCGTTGTCATCCTTTTTATGGCAGATTGCCTCCAGCAGATACCTGGCGTTACAACGTCACAAAAATAGTGCAGACAGGACGTGTAAGGAGAACCAGACCTTCCCACAGGAACCCTACTAGAAGAAGCAATTTAAGAACTTAAGCCCTCAGAAAAAGGTCCCTTAGGCAAGAGCCTTTTGCAGTAAATAGCTATTGCCACTGGAGACCTTGCATAGCAACCGGTATCATGAGTTTTTTTTTCTTTTTTACTTTTTTTGCTGACTGGCTACATTTTTATGGACCTTTTATCACACTGGTGGTGGACACAGGCCCAGCTGAAAATACCATGAAGAAAATGGTTAAAATTATCCTGGAAGCTAAATAACGGCTTCTGGTGTCCCCTCATATTGGTCTGTGGCTCAGTGTTTGGTGTGCCCCGATTATCTGAGATGAAGAGCACCAGTGCGAGAGAGGAGAGACAGCAACGGTGGAGATGCGTGCTGCAGCCTAACTGGAGAACAACCAGGGAAGTTCTCGCAGTGGGAATGGAAACGGGGGTATGCCTTTTTTCTTTTTTTTTTTTTTTGTTTTAAAAACCCACCTGCAAGACGTATTACACAACACACATCAATGGAACAAAGCAAGCCGAGAGCACACAGCAGCCAAAATCTGGTTGCTGGTCGTGTCTGCAATGAGCTTTCCTCCTTTCTTGCTTGGAGAGGAGTGACAGTGACTGATGCCTGAGCTCACGTTAATACTGTCAAGATGTAGTGACAGTGAGACAAAATAAAGATACAACAAAACCTTGTATGCTTCCAAAGACAGGAAAATTCTTCCAGAAGACGGAGCGTGAGGGTGGAGAGGTGTGTGTGTGAGAAGTTGCTCCAGCCCAAGTGATTCATGAGTCCAGTGTAGGATCACCGGCAGCAGCTGTCTCACTGATGCTTTTCCATCTTAATTGTTTGGGTTTCAAGGCTTTTTGCAGGATTTTTCTTTCTGGCCTGATGTTTTGCAGAACACAGACAAGGAGGTGTATGCCAGCAAGTGACAATCACTAGGTCTCTTTCCAAATTGCTCCCACAATATTTCACCTCCCTAGTCATCAAGGCTCAGAGGCAGAAAGTGAGAGTGAGGAATGGAGTCCATCTATCAGATGGCAGGCTGTCACGCTTCGATGATATTCACTGAGGGCTTGTTTTTTGGAAACTAGAAGAGAAGAGGAGACAAAGGCAGAAAGGATATATAGGAATTGCTAGAGAGGGGGGCGAAAAAAAACATGTCAGAGATCAGTGCAGTGTGCTGGTCAATTTTTGGTTTTGTAAAAGTTCTTGTTCCCATCCCCTCAGGATGTTGAGGCTTTAGGCTTGCATGGTTCATCACGGTCTGCTTCTGAGTGAGCATGAATTAGTGGACTATTTCAAATAATAAGTAAACGTGAAGTGGCGGGGATGCGCCAGAGTGCAAGTTGTGAATGCAAACACAAGAAAGTTAAATTAATTGAAATAACTTGGTATAAATTATAGGCTTCAGTCTGCTTACATTATGGATATGGCATACCTTTGACATCATGTGTATTACCAGCCATGCTCCTGCTGATCAGCTCTTCAGTTAATTGCAAGAGTAATATCCCCTTTACCACATGCCGCCTCAGGGCCGCTGTGGGGGTAAGGACCCGGGGACTACAGCATAGCTCAGCGCATTTTTTTTCCAGAGATGTTCAGGTATTTCAGAAATAGGGATTGAAACCCATTTTACTGATGGACACGCAGGCTAATCCAGAGGTGGGAGCGAAGTGCTGGTGTCCCGATGTGTCTGGGAGGCTCAGACCACTAACGAAGCCGTGGTACTGGCATGCGTGGGATGTGAAGGTGTTTCCTTTCTGCACCCCAGCTGGAGGGAGGAGGCTGGAGTGAGGATATTTAACAGGGGCTGGTTTTTGGGTAATTTAGCTGAAGCCCAGCTGGCAGTTGATTGTCTGCCCCGTCCCCCACTGCGTGCCGGCAGCATCTCACCTTGCTGCGGAGGAGCCCTCCGCTCTGGTGCTCAGGAGTGCTGTTCTCCGAGGCGCTCTTGACTTTCTCCTTGCTGTTATTTGGTTCATTATCTTTGATGATATCGTACTGTCTGCAAAACAGGGCGATCACCCCTAACAGGAAAAAGCATTAGTGATCACACAAATGAGCTCAGCCTCTGGAGCCTGCAAAGATCAAGAGATCCCTTGCTTGCCGGCCAGCTTTGTGCCTTCTGGTAGAGATCTCGGCAGCGTTCACAATCGCTCCTAAGGATCATTTTCTAACACAGCTCGTCAGTCCTCTGGCTGTTTCCTTCTCAATGCCTAATTCCATACTAAACTAGATGGACAGAAGATTAATTATATTCCAAGTTCCCTGTCATTAAATGGGACAAGTGTTTTAATCCCAACATTTGGATAGTGATCAACACTAACCGTGAAGTTAAATGGGATCTTTGCTTTGCAAACACAGGAGCTCCTGGAATTTCTGGTTAGTGCAAATGTGTCCTCTGATCTTTCTCCTCTGGGGTGAAGAGAAGGAGCTGGAGCTGGCAGATGAGAGGCAGGTACCAGCCCTGCCTGCATGTGATACAAGCCAGGGGCTTTTGAGCAGCAGGACAACATCTGCAGATATGCAACAGTGACGGCAGCAAAAGCTGCCAGTGGAAATTTCCTCCCACACACACACAGGCACATGAAGAGAAAAGCAGGGGCAGCCACGACACGTAAGAAGGCTGTAGATGTCTTTCTCGGATGCTTTTATATGACATTGTGACCAAATAACTTCTCTGCCTGCAAATTCCAAACACAGAGGTTAAGCAGACCCAGGCAGATGCTGCTTCTCCCTTACTGAAAAATATTCCGCCTCCCTTAATAGCAAAACATAGGTAAAGCTTTCACCAGATCATCACAAACTGCTTTATAGAGCGAGGTGTTGTTATGGCAGCTGCCCCCAGGTATTACTGATAAACACAGTGGTCCAAATTCTTTCTTGCGTATGTGAACAAATGGCTGATCCTAGGAGAATAGGTTAACATCTGCCACGGTCACACGTTCTGTGATTTCTGATGGGAAAACTGAGGCACAGAGAAGCAAAGTGCTGTGAACATTACCAGAAAGACAAGACAGCACACGAGCTTGGGTCTTGTCTCAGTTCAGAGCCCGGGGCGCAGACCGATTCCAGTTTGCATTTGCTAAAACATTCATACGTTCAGGTTACGGCTAGGCAAGGTCAAGGGCTGTATATTGAGACTTTGCAAAGAACCCACTAGATGTAGAGAGATTTTCCTCCCACCTACTTTCCTTTTTAAAGGTAAGTCGTCTGTCTGGAAGGGAAATTGTGGTATCGGCAAGTTCTTTGTTCAGACGCTGATCTGAGTTTTAGATTATACTATAGTGGGAGATGAATCAGTTGTTCAGTCACTTCATGTAGTTATTCATGATTATTTTTACCGGCAGGGCATTTAAATTTGAATGTGCACAGCTAAAACTTGCCATAAATGCTGAAAAGACTATGGACTAGAGGTTTTGGAAGCCTTGTAATTTAGTTTAGGTTTTCATTTGGTTATTATCTTTAGCTGTAATTGCTGTCCAGCCTCTGGAAATGCAAATAATGCGTGGTAAACTCAGGACTTTCCAGGGCAAAAAAAAAATTATATGTGGATCTGATTCAGTGTCACCTGGCTTCACTTGTAAGAAACCTTGCGGAACTGTACAGAGGACAGTTAATCCCTCCATCCCCCTCTTTTGGGACAGATCTGAGGGCACTGACCGGTTTCCCCTTTACATCTCTCCATGGAGGTATCTCCTCTCAGCAGAATCTGAGAATAGATGGGCCCAATCCTCTGCTGGAGTAAACTGTTGCAACCCCTATCAATTCAGGACTGTTACAGTTTACAGCAGCAGAGATGACAGACCACCGTCAAAGGACATAACGTTACGCTCTCCAACTACAAGTCGTCCGTCATCAGCCACTCAATACTATCGCGGTGGGTTTCTCTTCTGACCGAGGAAAATTCTCTGTGCGACTGTTCACGTGCTCTGTGTGTGGAAAAGCGGTTTGCCTGGGACAAGAGGACTAAATACCAAGTGGCAAAGGTTGTCTTTTCTGGGTCATAGATTTACCAATTTTCCTGGCCTGCCAATGTCCTTGAGTCACCTGAACCATTCCCCCTTGGGCAGGGTGCTCTGTGACTCGCAGGGAGCAAATGTTGTTTCATTAATGTTTTACGTTGCAGCAGGAGCGGGAGCTGACTGGCAGCCAGGGGAGGCTGGGGCTCTAAATAGAAAACAAACATGTGCAAACTTTATTTCCCATTAACTCATGCGTGTAATTTCCAAACTGAACAAGCTGAAGGGCTGGCTGCAGCCACTCCAGACACGCAAAGCTGTTGGAGCAGGAGTCAGAGGCATTTTCCTCTCCCCGTTTTCTAGTTTAAAACATATGAGCAAGATCTGTCTTAGGTCCAATTTGCTACAAGCTCTGTTGAAATGTGGTCCCAAACTCATGTTGGAAAACTCTTGGTTCTCTTTGGAGATTTAATTTATATATTTGTACGTATTACAGAAGGTCGTAGTGAGGGATCTTCATATCAAAGGACCGCATTTATCTGATGCTCTGTTAGAGGCTGAGCTAATATATGTGCCTAGCTATGCCCATCACATCCCACAGCAAAGTGGCCCTAGGATGGCTTTACTGCACCTCCCACGGCACTGGGTGCTCACAGCTGCAGCTGGGCATGTGATTGTGCTTATAAAATCATATACCACAGTAGCCATCTAGTAGCAGAGCCTCTGCTTGGATTAAAAGGATTAGTGGCTGCAGGGTGTGAGGAGGAACTAGGGTGGAACTTCAAAAGATTGCTAAAAGTTTGGCTCCAAAGCACCCTTTTGGAGAGCAGCTTTCAGCTAACGCTAGTCCTTCCTCCTCCCACCATCCCAAGCTCATGTAGACTTTTCCTTCTTTCTGGTTCATCTGGTTCTGCTAATGTCCCCCCTCTTCCTATTAAATACTATTCTTTGTATTTTAATAAAGGATGTTGAGAGGATCTGGGTTTATTGGTGTTTTGATGTTCGGGGCCATTTGTTCTTTCGATGCTTCCATTATTTTAATTGATTTTGAAGTGGGTTTTAGTGTATATATAATAGTGGGTGTTGAGAGCGAGACTCTTAAATTTCTCTTTCACATGAGAGTTGGAGTCATATAATAGCCAGATAATTACAGTGACCTGTATCATTTGAAGGGCTTGAGGCATCCTGTTGGATGTCTGAGGGCATTATCATCAGTGCATTCTGGAAAAATTGAGATTACAGGATTAGCCATGGGGAATTAGGCAATTGGTTCATCAAGTCCATTATCTGCTTCCTGCTGGACCAGATCAGACCATTGATTCACCTGCTTTTGGTTCTGCCTGCCTTGTGATGCTGCAGAGGGAACGGAGGTGCCCTTACAGCTGAATATACAGTACTCTTTACGGGAGGAAGGCTTCATTTTCAGGTCTTACATGATTAGGCATGCAAACCAAGCAAGCCAGCAGGCCCTAGGGATTTTACATGCTTTTGACAGAAAGATTGAACTGACCTGCCCACATAAACAACACCACAACAATGATGAGAATTTCCCCCGCTCGCAGCTGTTGGTTTTTCTTCGCCATCTCCTTCATTGTCACCTCATCTGCACAAGGGGAAAGAGAGATCATGAAACCTAACCGCCCGGCTCAGGCTGCACTAGACACTGGTTTAACAGTGCCCTTGGCTCAAATCATCAGTGCGGCAGGGTCAAAGCCAGCAGGCAGAGAGTCCTCGCCCGTCAGTCACGCCGGCAGCGCGAGCTGCGCTTTGAACTTGCAGAGCATCAGCTGCTCTGCAGCAACTGCCCCTAACGACCTGCAGGAGATGGGGCGAGGGAGCAGCAGCGAGACGGGATCAACAGGCACTTGCCACAGAGGAGCGGCCAGGGGGTA